CAGATCATAATTAGAATTCCCTGACATTCCCTGACTTTCCAGGTTTTTCCAGGTAGTCGACACCCTGGTATAGCTTGGCCTTTAGCAGAAAGACGCTTAACACTTTTTTCGGCGAATTTATGATCCTGTTTCACGTTATGGTTCTTCTCTATGCCTGTTCAGATAAATTAGTACTTTTACTTATTTTCTCTATCGCGCTACATCAAACGAGTAGAAATAAGAAGGGATGTCGGTTACGCGCTCGAATAACTGAAAATTCGATAAATATTCAATCGAATAGCTGGAAAAATCTTAACGATTAATCGTTAATCGAATAATTGAACTTTTAGGCATCCCTAAAAGTGTAATTTCATGTTTTTTGGTGGTCCTTCGAAAATGTCGAACAGCAGAATTGCAACCAGCAAGTGTAACCTAAGAACCAAAAGCGGTACGATGCAAGTTTTGACGACGACTAAATTAAGGGACTTAGAAGCAGAGGAGTGAACGTCAATTCTGTTCATCGATTTCCTCTTTTAATGTTCTTCTATCATCCAGAACAATATGAATGTGTTATTTGCTGTCGAGTTATATATTAACCGAGATATTAACGAAACAGAAAGTCGATGAAGAGAATCGGTCAAAATCACCAGCACCCCTGCTTCCAAGTTTGGTTACAAGATTACAACTCTGGAGAGCATTTTGTGTGGTCGGGGCGTGTGGTTCTGAATATGGCGATGAGTGTGCAAAATGTTACGCTATTGCATCCTTCCTATTCACACACGCCCGAAGATCGGAGGTGAATGCCACTTTGACTTGTTTCGTCTAATATCGACTCTCTGATTACAGTTTTGGGAAAGCAGCAATGCTAGATCGACTTGTTTCGTCTAGAAACGATTATCTGATGGCTGTGTTGGGGAAGCAGCATATGCATGTACGTAATTGGTGGATTTGTTGGTTATTTCGACGCTTTTGGACAATGCTTAACATTTACAACTTTTTCAAAAGTTTCTTGAATTGTTAGACAGTTTGGGGTCTTCAGATTAGTACCTGAACATCCCGAAGACTAGATAAAATATTCGGAGTGCTTTATGAAGATCTCTAATTACCTGAAGAATTATGAAATAATGTCTAAGTCGCTTGGTATGAGAACATATCTTATGAGAGAATATCTGGGAGATGTCATTTGAATTACTGGGCAGTTTGAAAGATTAGTAACTGATCAATCTGAAGCCTTGAAAAAGTAACCTGATCACCTGAAGGTCTTCGGAATAGTTTCTGAGCAACCTGGTACAGAGAGAACATCTAATAAATGTGATTTGAATTGTTGGATAGTTAAAGATCTTTAGAATAATCACCCATATTATCGTTTTCGTTTGAACCGTATTTTTCATACAAAAAAAGTTTTTTTGCAAGAAAAATACGGTTTGAACGAAAACAAGAATATGGGTTAATACCTGATCAACCTGAAGCCTTGGAAAATATCAAGAGTACTTCATGGAGATCTTAGAATACCTGAAGTTCGTTGGAATAATTTCTGAGCAGCCTGGTATCATATCTGAATATCCGGTTGATGTAAAAGACGCAAGCGCTTTCATTAAATTCTGTTAAGATCCATGCATGAAGTTCTATACTATGAAATTCCCAGAACTTCTATGATGTTCCCCAATTATTTATGAAATACCTCTCACTTCACGGACAGAAAATTGTTTGCATTGAACCAAAAAAAACTTTATTTGTATTTACACAAACAATTCCGGTTGAAATTATATTGCATTTTATTGTTTCGATAATATTTATTCAAATAAATTCAAAATAAGATTCTTTTTGTTTTCATAAGCCACTCTTCAACTGCAACTATTGTAAAAATAACAATATTCTTTTATCAAGCCAACAATAGTTAATTTTAGTTTAACATTTATTTGTTGTGTCAATTCCCCGGGTCATGAATGCAAAAATAACTACCAACCATTCCCTCGTGAAAACCCGGACAAAAATGTAAACAATAACAAAAAATTTCTCGTTTGATTCAGCTCTAGAGGTAAGTAAGTATGCTGCTGTTACAAAATATAAACAGTTTTTATTTTTTTCCTTGATTTTTTCCGTCGATCTTATTTTCAGTACTGAGTACCAATGCTCCCAACGCCAGGAAGGCCGCTTCCACACCTGGACCCTACCTATCGACCCATCAACTCATGAACCGGAGAGATTTTATGCCTCAGAAAGTTTTTTTTTAAATTTAATTGTAATTCTGTTGGTAACAAATAGAAAACAAAACTTAAAAATAATCGCAAATTATTAAAAATTTAATCAATAAACATATTTTTATTTCTACTGCGTATATTTTTAGGCTTAATAAAATAAATATGATTGAATCAACAAGAAATCTCTTTTAAAAACAAACATATTTTTTTTTGTTGACCCAGCTGCCAAATTTGACAGCTTACGTCAAAACCATAAAAGCTCTTGTAAATTCGAAAAGATTTTCTTTTTGATTTAACAATCCATGGGTTTTTTTATAAACAAAGATACTGGATTGTTGAAATAATAATTATTTCATTTTGCAGCCAAAACAAAATGAAATTCTTATTAAATTTACGTCAAATATTATTACGTTTAAAATATTTTTTTTCTGCGTGTTCTATTAAATTACCTGAACTTCAATGATACTCCCTGAAACTTTTTTAAAATACAAATCCCATCAAGTTAACTATTGTCTATCAAGTTCTCCGATTGTTTTGGGAAGCTCTTCGCAATGACGAGGCTCGGTAGCTCAGTGGTTACCGTTTCTGCTTACTGAGCAGAAGGTCGGGAGTTCAATCCCAGGCCCGTCCCCTTTCTTGCAATTTTTCACTTTGCCTTATTCTATACCCACTAGATTTTAATGAAAACAAATTCTTCTTTAACACCGATCGCATCACTTACCACAGTGTGATTCTTGATCTAAAAATAGAAAATTGGATGAGTGCGCGCGCGTGTGTGTGTGTGTGTGTTTGTGTATTATAATCGCTCTACCAAAAAACGATCCCTGCGTGTGCGTGCAACCTTTCCCCACATTCAACATCCCAGTGATTTCTCGTGGAAGCGCAGAGGATTTCTCGGTTTCCTTCACAGCGAGTACCACGTCAACACATTCCTTCCCATTCCCTAGTTGACCTGCATTCGGACACGGCCGGCGCTGGTATTGCTAAATATTAGATCTCCAGTTCTTACACATTGAGGATGAATGTTAGTCCCAAACATCATCTGTTGGTTCTCTGTGTAATTGCAGCTGATCTGGTAATAACAGAGCAGCAACCGTGGGCGGTCAATCTGATTTTGATTGATTTTTGTTAAGGAAGCTCTTCGCACTTTTATGAAATTCTCTGAACTTCTATGAAATAGCCCAAAACTACTCAGAAATCCCCAAAACTTCTGTAAAACTCCAAATTTCCATTAAATCCTTTCAACTTTGAGCTCAACTTCTATCGGGAAACATCTAATTTTGAACGCATAGCGCAACCGGATTATCGAGCAACATGCTTGCCGATCACATTTAATTTTTCCTGTGGGGTGATTAAAAGCCGATCGTCATCATTTTCAACTGTGAGAGGTGGAACAGGTTTGGAATGAGTTTTCAGGACCTTGGCTACCTTCCAAAATGGACTTTCATTTCGGGTGAGTCCATTCTGGAAGCAATCTCTCTGTCCAGATCGGTCATTTCACGTTTTCGAACCCAGATCTCCAGTCCTCTGAAATTGGTGTCCACGAACATTTCTGGTCGGAGCTGAGATCGAAGAGATGAAAGTTGTTTCGTCCAGAAACTGCACAGTGTGCAGTCCATGTTGTGCGTGGTCGAACAATAGACATCCGTTCGGGTTCCGCTGGTAGTTCCGTCAAGCTTCATTCATGGTGGGCATTCAGGTCGCCCCCAACGATGAATCGGGAGCTAGTACAGGTGATGGCGGTCAGGTCCGTGCTTGAATTGGATTCCTAGTCCGTTGCTTGCGGTACACTGGCGTGAGCAGTAAACAGTGATAAACCGGACGTTTCCAGTTGGTGATTCCACCTCCTCACTAAGGGCCTCGATGATAGAAGTGCGGATATGGGGCAGAGTGATTCCCTTTCTGGCGATGACCGCTACACCCCCCCCCCCCCCCCTGAAGCTGGTGCGATCAATCCGGATAATGTTGCGGTCAGGCAACCAGAAGCTGTCACCGGACTTTAGGTGGGTTTCGGTTAGAAGACCCACGTTGATGCTGTGTTGCGGAGGAAGTCCCCTTTGGTTTGTTTTTTCCGTCGATCTTGTTTTCCGTGCTGAGCACCAATGCTACCGACGTGCCAGGAAGGCAGCTCCCACACCTGGACCCTACCTATCGACCCATCAACTCATGAACCGGGGACCAACGGCTTTACTTCCCATCCGAAGGAAGGCGTGATCAGAGATGTTATGCCTCAGAACATCCCGGCGGCGCCGACTGGGATTGAACCCAGGCCTGCTGGGGTGAGAGGTAATCACGCTTACCACTACACCACCGGCCCCGTTGCGGAGGAAGTCGGCAAGCTCAATTTGTTTTGCTCTTACACAACAAGCGTTCCAGGTATTAAAAAAAAACATCTCTCAATTGTTACGTTCTCTGGGAATAGTCCATTGAACAGTGCATCAATCAAAGGTCGTGCGTGCTCTCACTCATTGTGATGAGTATTTGTGGAAGTCCAGCTTGAGCATCAATCTAGGCTCGAGCTCTTTTGCGTTCTTTGGATTTGACATCATTGCTCTTTGTATGTGAGGGATGAACTAGCTCACGATGAATGAGCATCTATACGGCATAATCTGAGTTCGCGGAAGCAAGCCTGGGCGACAATCTTACAATAAATCCCATTTTCAATGGAAAATATCGCATACCTTTCATGTGATTTATCACATTATCAGTGGCCGTGTAAGAGAAAGAAATTTAATTTACAATTTTTAAAATGGTTGTTTCGTGAAATGTTGCTTAACTGCCTTTCGAGACTTATAGCTGAAAATAATTTTGGAGGCCGTTCGGAAGTTGGTACCTATGTCTGAAATATTTCGGAATTCTCTTTAAAATAAAAATATTTATTAATTTATACTTATTCCTTAACACACACAAAATGGCACGCACCGTCCTAGGCATCCATCCCCGGTTTATAATCCACATCCCGAGGATCGTCCCGTTTGGCATCATCCTCTACGTCACTTTCCACCGTGGTGAGCGTCAACGTTTTCCGGTGGACAATGTTTTCGCAATTATGCTCACTGTCGATGAACCTCGGCGGGTTACATCCCACTGGTAGGTGCAAATTCAGGGCTTCCTCGTACGATCGCGTCACCAAATACCGTTCGGTTTGGGTGGTTCTGCTTTCTTCTGTCGTATCCGCCGGTTCTGTCTTTACCGTCGCTACGTCAGTCTTGGGTGTCGTGAATATTCGCTTCATTCGCAGTACCTTATTGCCCTGGCCGCTGTACTTGTAAAACTTGGGTGGATTTGGATTGTACAGAGGATCGTTCGTATTTTTCTTCTCGTCGTCCTCTTCCAGGAAAACGTTCGTACCCAGCGCAAAATCGTACGATCCCCTATAGACATCGTTGTTGATTTGGATGACCGGACTCTCCGACTCAATTCCGATTACCTTTACTCGAACGTTGGGATCTGCCAGCTCCTCGGGGGTTAAATAGTTTTCAAAATCGGCGAATATTAGCATTTCTTCTTCAATGTAACTTTCAGGATCAGCGTCATCCTCCGGACCGAGTTCCATTGCCGATTCGTCATCTTCCGTTGCGGATGCTTCGTTAGGCATTTCCTCGTAGCCTTTCTCCAGCTTCATTTTCCTGCATGCTTCCATTATTTGTTCCTTTTTGTTGTTGTTGCTTTGGAATTAATTTAACTTCAATATTATTTACAACGTTTCGATCTGAATTGGGTACCTAGGTATTAAAATATTTGATTTTTTAAATTATTTCGTTCGATTAGATTGTGAACGACCAGCCAGTACGAATTGTAAACAAAATTAAATTGTAAACAAATTTCTTGCACAAATGCATTGCTGCATTTTTTTTTTCATTTAACTGTCAGCGTGTTTCACTTCCTCGAAGGAATTCTTGAAAGGAAATTTTTGATCAAGGTGAATATATATAGATAGGTATGCTTTCTTTTCGAAACTTCGAGGAAATTTTCACCATTCGTAATTCACGGAAAAACGAGTTTATGCATTGATGACTATTTTTTTAACCACTTTTGGGAGCTTGTTCGAGCTGTCATAGAGTGGTTGAAATTTATAGCAAAAAAGTGTATAGAATTTAGACATTTTCAGAGAAAACCATTTTTCAACAAAAGTGTTTAAATTTTATTCACTGGTGGCTGAAAAAAAACTTGGGAACAATTATTTTCCGAAAAGCAGCGGCCATCATTGGTCAACTTTTTCACGCAGAGAAAACTATCGTCGAAACAAAATTATTTGAGGTAAATTTAAACGTAAACTCAGTTTGTTCTGGCCACAAACATAAATTAGGTTTATTTCAAACGTATTCCATGTTTGAAAGTCATGTGAAATCAATGTTTAAAATAAAAATAATGTTACGTTTATTTCTAAAATATTCGTGTTGAAAATAAACGTATTTGTTTGACAGCTATACGAGCAATAATAAATATGTTTATTTTAAACATGCTTCTCATGTTTAAAATAAAGATACATATTTTGAAATTATTTTAGTATTTGAGTGCAGGGTAAAGCAAAATAAAACGGTTTGCAAATAATGATAAAATAAGATCTTCGGGCAGGGCATCTAAATTCCTGCTCTTTTTCGGGTGCGATTAAGCGTGACCTGCTGGTATTGGGGTCATGGTCCGGGATGTGAAGACCCGTCGGGGTGGGTGTCTGGGGGTTCCAGTTCAGTGGAGCCGGTGCAAATTTGTGTTATTAGCGTCGTTTTGCCTTTTCTGCCTCGGGTTATGCCACTGGTCCTCATACCGGTTTCTTTCTATGTTCCGTGTCGGAGGAGGATCCGGAATGGATGGACGTTTTCTGTTGAGGTTGAGCAAAGCTGGGGCAACTTTTTCCGAATGTAACAAGAAGGAAATAAAAAGGCATGACACGCTAAAAACCGTTTACCCAGGTCCTATATTGTTGAAATAAACATGCTTTTGAATTTAATTCAAATATAAATATTTTAGTTTTCAACATGCTTTCAATTTACTTTGAATAATTCAAATGTTTAGAGTATAAACATTTATATTTTTGTTTTAAATGAACACAATTGGTATCCGTGTTGCAGGTAGATAGATTGTTTATAGTATTATTTATAATCTAGATACAATTTAATAGTAATTTATAATTTTCTTATTATTTCAAGAGTCACCGCTATCTTTAAAAGTTTTTCCAGAGGAGCTAGTGAGCTGCAGATTCAGCTGCTACAAGCGTTGTCCGGTACGGTTGGACATGCCAACTGGAATATCCTGTCGCCGTGTGGGATCAGGCCAAAGAGATGGCCGATGCTAATAGTAAGTATATCTACACAGCAAAAAAAAATTACTATCGATCAACGTAATTCAAGCTGATGTATGAAATAATGATGTAATAGCAAAAATCAGATACGATATTACATCAATGGATGTAATTTTGTTCGCAAAATCGGTATACATTGTACAACGTCATATTACACCACCAGCGGAATTACCTCTGTGCAGCTGTTTGGATGTAATATTCAACAACTTTTTTTTCTGTGTAGCAAGGTACATTATTTTGTAACTTTTGATCCCCATTACAGAGAACTTCAATCGGCAGCACGACGATCCGAATCTACTATCATTATTTTGTAACTTTTGATCTCCATTACAGGGCTGCCAGCGGCACCACGACGATTCGGATCGAGTTCGTCGGACAACGCAACGGAATGGTTGCCGAGCACGACACGGGAAGGTCGACGAAGGAATCGTGAAAAGAAACATCCGAGTTCCACCTGGACGGACGGGATGTCGAGCGATGACAAAATGGCCGACATTGTAGTGTCTTGAAAATTTGAGTTAAATGGTGTGATCTTGCTCTGCCCAGATGTACCTTCTTATTGTTTTTATTGTACAAGAAATAAATATTACTTTTTGTTGATTTTTATTTGAATGTAATTGTTTGTATAATATGTTGAAAATACACGAAACCAACCATTTAAAATCGTTCCGGTGTATAAAATTTAACCACTTTTGAGAAAATTGCCTTTACTCATTAATGATTAAAATTTAATCACTTTCAAGAAAAACGCGTTTATTCATCCGATGAGTAAACAGCGTTTATTCATTTTATGAATATGTGCGGGTTTTCTCGAAACTGTTTAAAATTTAAACATTAATGCATACTTTTTTCTTAGCGTGAATACCATTGACAGACATACAAAGCAGTACCAGCAGTACCGTTGTAGGTACAACAGTGTACTTTGTACACGAAACGAAAATCAATTATTTTATTCATGTTTTTCACTTATACATTTTTGCCAAAGCATCAGCCTTATACATTCCATAAGACAAACCACATAGGTCCTACAAGAATGCATAAAAGGTATATGTGACCGCTTATACATTTCATTTGACACATGAGCTGCATTAACTTTTTGCAAGGCGTCTGCTTATTAGTTGACTTATACATTTTATGAATAATCAGCAATAGAAATTTGCCAAAAGGTATAAGGAGATTTCTATCCGTGTATGTCTGTACAAGGTATAAGAGTGGGTGGTAAAGAGCTCTCAAACTGTTAGCAACCGGTGAACACTTGTGTTTATTTCAGTTACCGTGGGGACGTAATTTGTGATTAGCCCAGTCCCTTTCAAATTGTATCATTATTTATGTACGGTCCTTATATTTGAAATGACGTTTCACATTGATCTAGTGATGGCCGATTTTCATTCGAATAATCGATTAATCGATTAACGAACCGAAAAGTAAAATATTTGTAATCGGTTATATCATGCCGATATAAGCATTAACTCGCATTAACTTCTCCAGAGGATCATCACTCATCGTTTCAAACATAAACGCTGCACTCTCATTGGTGGAAAAATGACAGCACAGCGAACAAAAAATAATCGATTAGTTGTTAATCGAGTAATTAAAAAATGGGACATCTCTGATTTTGGGGTGATTGGTTTGATAAGCCTGGTACGCAGCTGAAAAGTAATGACGTTTTTATGTGCTACCGGATAGAGCCTCGTACGCAGCTGAAAAGTAATGACGTTTTTACGTGCTACGGGATAGGACACGGAATGCTAAAGAAATTTCTTTTCCTTAGCATTTCTTGACCCAGTACGCAGTTCAAAAGAAATCGGTAAAGGAAAGATCGATTACATTAGTATCGTGATCGACATGAAGGTGGCGCATTCTGAATGCAATTTCACTTTCCTTGCGGAATTGGCGTCTTGCAGTGAAACTTTTCCAAGCTTTCGCCACCTACATTTCGAAGTGAGAACTACTAGAAGGAGGATAGTTTCCAAATTTTCCAAGTAAAACAGACGCTTTTTGGGGCAAATCGGTCCATTAAGAAAAACTAATAATTTCCCGTGGAAACTTTTGCTTGAATCGTGTAAGAAAACGTGTTTGAAAACTATTTGTTATTATTTCGGTATGGATCGGAGATGTTTTCATGGCAAATTATGCATGACAAGTTTGCACCCACAGGGAGAGGTTACCTCCTGCGAAGCTGCATTTTTCAGAAAATGATAAATATGTGAGATTTACACTAAGATGAAAGTGGAAATTAAGTTCATTTACTTATGAAAGGTTGTATCATGCTGGTGGTAATGGAGAATTGGTTGTATAGGACGCCAATATTAAATAAATGTTCATTTTGGCCTTTTCTAAGAAAACATATTGATACTCACAATTTTCGACGGAAAACGCAACGGAACTTGCTTTACTCAACACGCACCATACTATAAAATGGTGCTAGATGGTCTTCAAAGTGATAACAAGAATACAAATCATCTTTATTTTGAGTAATTGAGCAATTTACTTCTGTTTACATCATATTTACAATGCAGCATTGATGGAGCCGCGAAATGAAATGAATATATCTAATGAAAGTTCAACTGGAAAAGTCAAAGATGCATATCAGTCTGATCGTGAAAACGTTTTCTTCTTCAATTCGAATGTTATATTGGAAGGATTTTACACAGGCTTGATGAAAATTATGATTTAACGCTAATTTTCACGAATTTTATATGCAGTCTGTCAACATTATCATCATCATGCAGTGGCGACATCTGCGTTGAGATTTTACGGCAATCTTCCAATAATGGTCTGATCAATTATTCCGTTAGGTAATGTTGGCGTTTATTGCAAAACTGATGTTTTGGATGTATTTAAACAACATAAACACTAATAAGTGTTGATTTTACAATTTGACGACATCTCCCTATAATCTCAAAATTTAGCAGACTATAGCTGTCAAATTTTCTTTTGGAAAAAAATCCTCAAAAAATACTTTTCCGTTTTCTTTTCAGCTGCGTACCAGGCTATAAAAAAAAAAAGTGCGCTAAATTTCATCTCTACCGAGGGGGCAGCAAAAACACAAAATTACCTTGCATACAGGGGATATTCCGAGGGGTGCGACACATCTAAATTACAATTGGATTATGTGAAGAATAGAACCGCTTTTTTAGATCAGTGTACATTCATTAGATTCCTTTCCCTAGCATTCGCTGCATCTACTTTTTCACCGCTGCAAACGCTGCCGAAGATGGAAGTAGATGCGAGCAAGGATGTGGAAAACTGCTATATGAATGACCAGATAAAAGTGAGAAAAAAGGCAACAGCAGGCGAGACAGCGAATGAACTGTAGCAGCTTTGCAAGCTGCAGGAAAAAAATCTCTATTTTCATTGAGTTTGACTGCGAATGATGGTAATGGTCGATTTTCGAGGATTATT